CGGCGCCCTCTCCCGGGCGCCCCCCGGGCGGCCCCGTTTTTTTTTTTTTTTTTTTTTATGGCTATCTAGACCTGTATGTTGCAACCAAGATCATCTGGGAGCAGGCAAAACACATGACCACAGCTGCCAGTGTTACCGTGTAGGATGGAAAAAAACAGAGTGTACAACTGAGACGTAGTGGAGAGGAAAAGTGACGTGTGAAGTCTGAGAATAACCTTTCTGAGCAGTAGCATGAGTTTTGTTTTGTTTTTTAAGTTGGGTGATAGGTGTATTATTATGCTTCATAATCAAATAATGTCATTGGATTCATGATTGTATAAATGTTATCGAATTTTAAAATTGATCAAAACATAATTGATTATACATGTTTGTGCGGTACAGAGTTTTTAAAAAAATTTTTCTGCTTTTTACTTTTTATTGAAACAGAATTGATTGCACATATTTGGGGGGTACAGTAGTTGATATTGAGTTGAGTATCAATACCTGTGTGCAATATGTGATGATCAAATCAGGGTAATTGGTACACTCATCTTTACAAAACATAATCATTCTGTGTGACCCTTAACCAATTTCTCACTAATCCCCCTCCCGCATCCCCTTTCCGCAGTTCTGTTCTCTCCTTCTGAAAGTTCGATGGATTAGTGATTATTGGGTTTTTTCCTTTATATTTATTTATTTATTTATTTATTTATTTTAGCTCTGTGAGGTACAGAGTTGAACATCTGTGTACAGGATATGATGATCAAATCAGGATAATTTGCATATTCATATGGATGATTAGCATATCATTACAAGTCAAGACAATTAGCATATAATAATAACATATTAGAACATCATCATTCTTTGTGTCCATTAACCAATTTCTTGACAACCCCCTCCCCCTCCTCTAGGAACCACAGTTCTGCTCAGCATGAGTACTTTGGGTTACTGTACTTTAAGGGGTTTGCTGAGGTTTATGGAGCACACCTCTATGGTTTTTCGTGCATTCTCTGTCATTGAAACAATGGTGCCTAAACCCAGCTGTGCCTTCCTCTCACACGTGCAACCTGTTCTGAACGGAGAAGATGGCCTCATCTTGCCCATTTAGCCGTCTAAACGGCCAGAACCCAAACACCCTGGACTCGGGGGATTTGTTCCTAGACAAGCGAGCCCGCAGTGAGCTTTCAAGGGTAAAGGACAGGATATGGTTTATGTGAAGACAAGTTTAAAGGTTGATGTGTTTACCCTATGCATAAGATTAAGGGATAATTCCTGAAGAATTTAGGAGGAGACAACTTAATATCCTCACTAGTTGATTGTTGAAGAAATGAAACTCAGATTTAAGTGAGGGAGTCACTTTGGACATAAGGAAGAGTTGTGTAGGGTGAAGTAATAAAACATCAGAGATTGGGAGTCTGTCTTTGAATATTCTGAAGATAATCACCTATCCTGTATGGTTTAAATAACCCTCCACTTGAGGCTAGGACCATTACTATTATCTGATTGCGGTATGCACATTTTAGGGTAAAGTAAAATTACTATATTAGGATGATTCTTTGTCACATCAGTAAGAATCAAATCAGATTTATTCCCTCTGCTCTCGTTCTAGTGACTCTGTTTCTCCCTCTCTCATGAACAGGCAGATTTGAAGAATCAGCTGGGAGATGCCGGCTACGTCGTATTTGGAGTGGTGCTTTTTGTGTGGGAACTCCTACCTACCACTTTAGTAGTTTACTTCTTCCGAGTTAGAAATCCTACAAAGGACCTTGTAAGTACACCATTTTATATTTGCAGAAAATATCTTCAATTCTAATCATAAGACATGCAATTAGAATTTTTTCTTAGCTATTCAATAAAGAGAGCCTCTTTCATCCCAATGTGATACAAAAAGTTCCCTTGGCTATTTTATTGAGATGTTCTAGTTTCTTAATTCTCCTTTGAGAGAAATGTGTTTTTCATTTAAGCTTTATTTTACTAAAGAAATAAAAGTAAGTTGCATCTCAAGGCCTGGGGAAAGTGATTAACTACTTAATGAAACACAGCCTTGACTTGCTGTGAACCAAATATATTAGCTTTTCTTTTAGCAAAGGAAAATGGAGAATGGTAATTCAGTTCTTCACCCTTATAGTATGCTGGGTGGTGATTAGGTGCTGTAGACTGGATGACCCCCCAACCTCACTGAGGCTTGACCCCCACTGTTGACTGTTGAGGGTGGGAGATCTTACTATGGACATTGAAAGGTGGGGCCTTGAAGAGGTGATTAGATTGCAGGACCATGCCCTAGTGAGTGGATTAATAATGGCGGTCAGGGGTGTGGTTCTGAGGGCTTTAAAAGAAGAGCACATGAGAGGTTAGTTTCTCTCTGCTCTGCCATTTTCTGCCACATGCACACCTGGGTCACTGTCTCCACCACCAAGGACTTCACCAAATGTGTTCCCTGGATTTTGGACTCCCCAGCCTCCAAAACTGTAAGCAATAAATTTCATTTTTTTATAAATCACCCAGTTTCAGGGAATTTTGTTATAAGCAACAGAAATGGACTAATACATTAGGGAATGGGAGGATAAGGAAATAAACATATTATTATGAGGAATGCAAAGGCCACTCCCCTAACTTGGTCACATTTCTGCTCAACCAACGTTATGTAAACACCTTTATGGGAGCAGGAATAGAAATGCAAAACCCGGCAGAGTGAGAAAGCTCCTAGGAGCCTTGCACCACAAATTACTCCAGCCACACAGACTAGTGAACTAGTGGTAGAATTTCGACTCACTGAAACCCACAGAAAAGTACAGTGAGTGGATTTGAGCCGATTTGAGCAAATTGTGGGTGGGAAGGAGCGCACAGACGATGAAGTCCACGAAGAATTCACAGTTCTTGTTCATACCCAGATAATAACCGTCGTGTTGTGTTTTTCTGATTCCTCTCTGCATACTCACTAATGAGACTGGGGTGGGGCGGCTGGCGGAGCTCAGCCTGGCAGACTGGCTCAGGCCACAGCCAGGGTGCAATCCAGATGCAGGTGCAGCCTCCTGCCTGTTCGTTGCAGTGTCCTCAGCTGCAGAACGGTGGTTCTGCACTGGATCTGACCTGTGCCTGCATCGCGGCCACCTGGAGGCTTCTGTAAAGTCAGACCCCAAACACCTCTTTGTCACTGGCAAAGAAACACGTGAAAGGTAGGCAGCAGATTCTAGGCTGATTGCAGCTCCCTGTTTTTCTTCCTTCTCTGAAGAAAGATAGCCTAAGTTTTCTGGGCACCTGGTTTGACTGAGGCACAGGTGAGGAGTGTGCTAAGCTCGTTGCACCTTTGCTGGGGCTCTCCATGTGCCTCCTGTCACTTCCTGGTGTTCATCTAGCATTTCATTATTCCAGTGTTCTTAGCAGCTACACCCCTAAACCAGGGCAGCCGGAAGGAGAGATGATATATCTGAATTCTGAGGGGTGAAAGGCTAATGTGATATTGTCCAAAGTACTCTTTTATTAAATGAATACAGAATAATATTGATAGTCTAATCTGCATTCTCAGATCTCATTATCCAGGGAGACAGGGTATCCTCAGCACTTTCCTGTGTGTGGAGGGTTTCTTGGTTATTGTGTTGGAATGTATCTACTGTGTAGGGCATTATCGAGAACAGCAGTTCTCATGTTTTTTAGTCTCAGGACACTATATGCTCTTAAATTATTGAGGACTCCAGAAATTTTTGTTTGGAGAGGAGGTTGTGTGTATCACATTAGAAATTAAAACAGAAAATTTTTTTAAATATTCATTTTTTAATTCATTAAAAATAATGAAGCTGTTGCATATTACCATAATTTTTTAAAATAAAAAATAACCACATTTTATAAAACAAAATAGAAGACTAGCATTGTTTTAAACTTTTGTGAATCTTTTTAACGTCTGGCTTGAGAGGAGACAGCTGGATTCTCCTATGTATTTCTGCCTTCAGTCTGCCATGATAAGTGGTTTTGGTTGAAGTGTAGGGAGAAAAGCCAGCCTCAGAGAGATGTGTCTTTGCAAAAAAGTGGAGTATTTTCATAGCCTTTTAACATAATTGTGAAGATTCTTCTTTGACACTATACCCAAACTCAACAAGTGTGGTTTCTTAAAAGTGAGTTGCAATATGGAATCTAAAATCCTATCAATGATCTTTGCAGATCGTGTGATACATTAAAATCCATTGGTCTATTCTGCACAAAGAGTGGATCTTTCACCCACTTATGGTTTTGTAATATCATGCACTGGTCATTTGGAAAATACTGGTTTATTGAGTTATGCAGATCTTCCAAATGTTAACAAGTTTTCATTATGCAATACCCTCCCCCCAAAATCTCTTTCATTAATATCTCCACTGATCTTATCAGAAAAGTCTTTAAGTACTGAGAAGCTGTCAAAGATCATGGTAGAGAGTATTTACAGGTTTTCCAAAGCTTCACTTTTTGCTCAGAAGTTCAAATTTTATCAGTGATATTATACTGTCAGTTGCTTTCCCTGAAGTGACAGCTCACTTCATTAACTTTCAAGAAAATATCTGTCAGATCCCCAAGTCTGATTAATCATTGTTCCTCTGAGATGTCTATTAAGTAAAACTAAAGTTGTATGAAAAAGATAGCGACAACTCAAACAGTTGTAGAAGCTCTCTTCTCCAGACAACTATCATACGGTACAGGTGCTTCATGCATGCATTCCGTTTTGTCACAGTATAAAAAAGATGTGCTCAAGGGTTGAGATTAAATAGAATTAATCTTACTGCTTCATCAAGGACATCCTTAAGTGGAACCATCTTTTTTTAAACTGCGAGTACAGGGTGGTGATGGATATCGTAGCTGCTAGTGTGGCTGGTACCTCTGCTCCGATATGGGGTAGAGCAGCTGCAGTTTTACTCACCCCTGCTTTTGTGCCATACATGCAGATGTTGACACAGTAAAAAAAGCAAATAACAGTTAAATACACTAATTATGAAAATAGTTATGACCTTGCAGATCCCTGAAAAAAACTGCAGAGACCTCTAAGGGCTCATTGATCACACTGATAATTGCTCGTCTGCAGTGGCATGTCAGTGAATTAAAATGAATCTTTTTGCCCTAAATGATATTATCTCCTAATTTACCATGAAGGAGTGAATTTGTTATGAAGGATGCATAATAATCACAAATAGAAAAACATTTTCCCATGTTTATGTAGCACTCATGAAGTCATATCATTAGCCAGTTATTTGGATTGGCAAATCTGGCTTGGAGCCTGGGTGTTTGTAAAATTTCCTTGGGCAATGGGGCCGGCCCGGTGGCGCACTGGATAGTGCGCCGCTTGGGAAGCGCGGCGGCACTCC